TCCCAGAGCCATGGTAGGAGCTTCTGAAGAGGAGGGGTGTCCTTTCTAAAGGTTTAAAAAGAGGTTTCGGCCTTAGTGTTTAGTTGTGCCCATGACCCTAAACCCTAAACTCTACATGCTCTGCCCATAGAAGGATCTTGCGGTATGGGGCTTAGATTTAAGGGATTTCTCTTACCTTCTCTGACTGCTCGCCTTGACCGACCCCAAGCCCTTCTAGACACTGCACTTCGAAAGCGATTGCTTCTCGTGGCCCCTGTCTGAGAGAGAGAGAGAGAGCAAGTTCCGATGCCACCTATTTCAATGGTTCTCAAGGTCTCACGGTGGTTATGACACTGGTTTACGGAGCTGACTGGTTGCATCCGAAAATCGGCAAGTAGATCCTTCCCCTTCATACATACATTGTGTCTAGCGTGCACAAGATCCCTAAAACTCATCATAGCCCCAAACCTTATAAACCCTAAACCTAGAATATTTTCATGTGGGAAGTTACCGCTATAGGAGCCTTATAGAAGGTCTATATACCTTATAGAAGCCTTATAGAAGCCCTACATATCCTAAACTCCCCACCTGCTGTAGTTTCCTGTAACTAAACCCTGAACCCGAAACCCTAAACCCTAAAGCCCTAAAATCCTAAATCCTAAACTCTAAACCCTAAATCCTAAACCCTAAACCCTAAACCCTAAATCCTAAGCCTCATCATCCTTCAACTGTTGACAGGCCACGGTTGGCTCGGGACCCTCAACGAGCGCAGATGCTCGGCAGCCACGGCACGGCCAGAGACAACCGATAAAGACGCCTGAAGAACTTCCAATACTAGTCCTTCGGGTTACTTGTCACATCTTTGTTTCTCTATGAATGTACTACCAAACCCTAAAGAAAATGATAAGGCCTTTACCCTAAACCTTAAACCCTAAACCCTAAACCCCTAAACTGAAGACACAGGCAACTCCCTTTACTGGGCAGTCCTCAGGGCTCGTTTTTGCACAGGGAGCCCTGGATCCTAAACCCCGCTAAGCTCACGGAGACTAGCCTGGCCATCTCTCAAGAAAACAGCCCGCCATTCAGGGTTTCGGGATTTAGGGATTTGGGTTTGGGTTTAGGCATTAGGGATTAGGGATTAGGGATTAGGGTTTAACCCTAAACCCTGAACCCTAAACCGTAGTTGAGGGTTCAGGCTTCAGGCTTCGATGCCCTAAGGTGGAGCCTGGGACGCGCAGTACTTCCCTGCACAGTGGTTTGAGAAGTCAATAAAAAAGACCCCTTTAAACCCTATAAGCCCTATAAGCCCTATTAAACCCCCATGAACCCTATAAGCCCTAAGCCCTGAATCCCTACCTATATCCTACACCTTCAACTTGCCGAGACATCGAGCCCAAAACCTCGCAGTTTTCGTGTGCAAAAAAAGGAGGGTTTTAGAGTCAGAGCTCAGGGCTGAAAAATTTAAAGCCGAACATAGGGGCTAAACAAAATTACCTATATTATTTTCTACCTTGACATAACTGGCTGCTTTCATGTCCTGAGACACGTGTCAGATCTTCTGTGCCTTCGCAGCTACGCATAGCACATGTTCCTGCGGCCCGCATGGCAACGAAATTACGGGAAGGGATATCCAACCTTTGACCGCCGAACTCATGCAAATTCTCTCGGATTTTGAAACCGCGAAGCGTAAAACCTAGACTGGACTTAGACCGAAAAGCACCAACGCTCTGTAAAGCCGGCATAAACCCTCAACCCGTAGCAGGCAGGAGCGTCACGGTTGCGGGTGGAGTCCGGTTTAAGATGTTTTCAGAGGCTCGAAAGCTACTCTAAGCCCTAAACCCTAAACCCTAAACCCTAAACCCTAAACCCTAAAAGCCCTAATTCCTAAAACCCTAAACCCAAAACCCCCCGTCTTATCCTTCAGCTTGATCCCAAGGAGACTCAAGGCTTGGTCTGGTGCCTGCTGGGCTCCGCTGTAGTTCTGCGGTTAGGAATGTACTACCCATAGGCCCCATAGTAGTTCCTTGTTGGGATTACCTAATAGGATCCTAAACACAAACCACGAATGTACTACATTAGGTTTAGGGGTTTAGGGTTCAGGGGTACCCGGCAGTTGCAATAGGCCTGGATGCAAAAGGGTTCAGGGTTTAGGGTTAGGGTTTAGTTAGGAATATACTGCATTATCGTCAGTGCTGTTACTACTATTATCAGTGTTATTTTTGTGGTCGGTACAATTTGTTGCCAAGTCGATGTTGAATATGCTTTTGTTACCACTATTCTCACGGCTGCCACTGTTGAATATTTTAATTAGAACTATTAAAAGCAATGACTACTAGACTACCATTATTATCACGACTGCTGCTGCTGCTGCTGCTGCTGCTGCTGCTGCTGCGGCAACTGCCACTCCTTCTCTTCCTTCTCCTACCACTTGTACTACTACTACTACTACTACTACTACTACTGCTACTACTCCTGCTGCTGCTACTGCTGCTACTACTACTGCT